GGTATATTTGCTCTTAAGTTTATTGATTTGTGGTTGAACAGAGAAGATGTCTTCAATTTCGATCAAAGTCAGTCATTGACATTCAGGAGAGAATTGGCTGCCAATCTTTGGGCTCATGGAAAGTGGAAAAAAAGATAGCGGCTATGAAACTCCTGAAGAACAACAAGGACATGATTATGGAGATTTTGAAGAGACTCTCTGTGAATTTTTTGATTAGACGATTGGTTGAACATAATTTGTATTTTGTGAATATACATGAATTATTTTTTTAATTCACTTTTTGTGTTATACAAATATGTTTGTGTCTTTTATCATGAATTTTAAGTATATTTTTGTTTGAAAAAACTTAAGCATGAAGTAAATGACTTCTGCTTTTTAAGCTGAAGTTTTGGTTAAAAGTCATAACAAAACTATTGAATCCACCACAAAAACTTCAGCTTATCAGGTGCTGAAGTTTTTGGAAATATACTAAAAAACTTCAGCACATTAGGCCGAAGTTTTTTGAAAAAGCTTTGAGACAAAAGCTATTGAATCCACCACAAAAACTTCAGCTTATCAGGTGCTGAAGTTTTTGGAAATATACTAAAAAACTTCAGCACGTTCGGCCGAAGTTTTTTGAAAAAGCTTTAAGAGAAAAACTATTGAATCCAACACAAAAACTTCAGCTTATCAGGTGCTGAAGTTTTTGGAAATATACTAAAAAACTTCAGCACATTCGGCCGAAGTTTTTTGAAAAAGCTTTGAGACAAAAACTTTAGCATGTTTTAGTATTTTTTTAACTTGATACTTATCTTTTTTGCATTTTCTAGCTACTTTTTGTCATTTATCACCTATATCACCTACTTTTTGTTGGCTTATTTTTTATTTTTTTTTTATTGCATTTACCAACTACTAGCATTTACCACTTACTTCTTTTGCCAAATACTTATCTTGTTACATTCAATTTCTCTGAACAAAAAACAGTTAACAATCTCTTCAGCATTTATAGATATTAAATTGATTAGGTGCACTCTTTGGTTATATTAACAATCTCTTCACTTAAAAATTTCATAGTCATCCATAGACTTCTAATATATTTCTTTAAATTTGTATTCAAAGAAAAACAAGAAAATGTTTGCTAAGACATGCTTATTGGGTGTAGCAGGGAGTTCGTGGGAAGCAAAGATAGTGAAGGAGAAGTCGAAATACTTCATATGTGAAAGAGAGTGCCCAGATCAAACACTCGAGCACCAGGACAATTTGCTCTTTTACTAGTTGATAAATGTAACTTTTAGGGAAAAGAGCAAATTTCCTGGGGCTCGAGTTTTTGATGTGGTCAGTCTCCGTCACATATGAAGTATTTTGGACTTCTCCTTCACTATCTTTTCTTCCCACGGATTCCCAGATGCACACCAGTAAGCATGTCTTTGGCTAATATTTTCTTGTTTTTTTCTTATGAAAGAAGACGGTAGTTGCTAAAAAAATTTTAGTACTAAACTTCGTCAACCTGTGTCTGACAGAAAACGCTTTGGTGGAAGACATAGTGAAGGTTAATGTAATTTGGCTAAGAAAATCAAGAATAGCAACTAGGACATGACTATGGAGAATATGAAGACACTCTGTGAATTTTTTGAATAGAGAATAACTTGTAAACAAAGAACTAATTTTTTCTTTTTTTCCAAGGATGTAAGAGAAAACAAAATTGAATTTTGTGAATATACATTGTTTTGTGTGAATTATGTGACTTGGATTGATTCAAATATGTTTGTGTCTTTTTTCATGAATTTCAAGTATATTTTTGTTGAAATTCAACATGCTAAACTTGAGCATGAAGTAAATAACTTTTGCTTTTTAAGCTGAAGTTTTGGTTAAAAGTCATAACAAAAGTGTCAAATGTAGGACAAAAACTTCAGCTCATCACTAAATACACTAAATAACTTCAGGAGTTTCTGCGTAAGTTATTTGAAAATTCTTTACGACAAAAACTATCGAGTCCAGGACAAAAACTTCATCTTATCGAGTGCTGAAGTTTTTAAAAATGTACTAAATAACTTCAGTACATTGGGCCGAAGTTTTTTAAAAAAGCTTTAGGACAAAAACTATTGAATCCAACACAAAAACTTCAGCTTATCAAGTGCTGAAGTTTTTGGAAATATACTAAAAAACGTCAGCACATTGGGCCGAAGTTTTTTGAAAAAGCTTTAAGAGAAAAACTTTAGCATGTTTTGGTATTTTTTTAAGTTGATACTTATTTTTTTGCATTTACTATCTACTTTTTGTCTTTTGTCACCTACTTCATCTTTCATTTAAGTTTGTTTGACTATATAGTAAATGATTCGAAAAGTTACTTTTCAGGCTGAAGTTATTTTTTACTATAGAAAAACTGTGGGGCTGAAGTTACATTTCTTTTGCATTTACGTTTTTAGAAATGAACTAAATAACTTCAGCACATTGAGCTGAAGTTATTTGAAAAAGCTTTTGGACAAAACCTATCGAGTGCAGGAGAAAAACTTCAGCTTATCAAGTGCTGAAGTTTTTTGAAATGAACTAAATAACTTCAGCACATTGAGCTGAAGTTTTAGAAAATGAATTCAACAAACTTGAGCACGTTTCAGCATTAATTGCATAGTACACATGAGTGAACATAATAAAGACAACTAAAGTAGTAATTATATTCCGTTGGGGTTATGTGTTAGTGTAATAATTACATTCCTATCACATTTATGCATGCTTTTCTTTAGACAACGTTTAAAATTCCTCTTTGCCTTTTCATATACCATGCACAAGTTTTTTTCCCCTATAAAAGCACGCTATACTTTGAGAGTTTATTCACTCAAGCAAATATATTCTAGCAGACATAATATACAAAAAGGAGAAAAATGGATGCTGTCATCAGGCAAATAGTAGAAGAAATCAAGCAAGACATTATAGAGGCCTTTGAGGTGAAACTGGATGAGCTAATAGACAAATACGACAGGGAGCTCGAAGAAATCAACAACAAGCTCGATACGCTTCTGATGTATGCAAGATTTGATAATCTTGCTGATGAAGATGCTCGTCCATCTGGTAGTGACGACGACGACGACGATGATGATAATATGGACAATTAGTTTTTCTTTTTGTTATTTTTGTTATTTTGTTATTTATGTTAATTTATCGTTTTAATGTTTAATGAAATGTTAAGTTTTTGTTACAAGTTTTTTGTGTGTTTTTTGTGCATTTTTTCTAATGTTAAGTTTATGTTAATTAGTTTTTTCTTGCTTAAGTATTAAATATTAACTGAAAAACTTCAGCTCTGCCTGCTGAAGTTTTTAAATATTAACTAAAAAACTTGAGCACATATGCTGAAGTTTTTAAATATTAACTAAACAACTTCAGCGCATATGCTGAAGTTTTTTGTGCAATATGTAAATTTAATTTATGTTTTTTTTACCTAGTGTAGGAGGAAAACTTCATCAGCTCATATTGCTGAAGTTTTTACAGATTACGTAAAAATCTTCAGCAACTAATGCTTAAGTTTTTTTGTAATATAAAATTTTAATTTATGTTTAATATTTAACCAGTGTAGGAGGAAAACTTCAGCTCGTTTTGCTGAATTTTTTAAATATGAACTAAATAACTTCAGCTTGTTTAGCGAATAAACAATGATAACACTCATATATCTCGTTTTAATGAAGTTTTTAGATATGAACTAAATAACTTCAGCTTGTTTAGCAAATAAACCAACAATTTCAGCATATTTGTTGGATTAGAATGTTAGAAGTGAACGTCAAATAGATTTAGAATGCAAATTCAGCATATCAGTTAAGTTCGAGAAACAAATTCAATCAATCAAAATTAGATGAATTTGAATACTTACAATGTATTTTGTAATTTTGAATTTGAATCTGGTTCAAATCTGGTTTGCGATAGGCGATCTTAGGAGAGACGGAGTGATGGAGGAGATACGGCTCTGGAATTTGAATCTGGGTATGGTTGATGCATCTTTTATATGTTTTGGAAGGGCTATAATGGTCATATTAATACCGATTTTTTGTTAGTTGGTTACCAAATCAATAGTTTTTAAAAATAGGGTATAGATTAAAAGGTGGCATAAAAATAGGGTACGGATGCAAATCCCCCGAGATAGACTGAGTCAAGTTAGGCTAAAATTTGGGTCATACCCAACCTGCCAACTCTTACCAAACTTTAATTAGTATGTGCTATGAATTGTTTAATTACCAAATAAGACATTTTTCTTTTATTATGGTCATATAACATATCAAACAAAAAGAAGGGATATTATCACTTTTATCCTGCGCCAGAAACTATTTGTATTTGGTAGCCGAAAAAGTATATAAAATTTGTAAATTTTTTGTATATAACAAACAAAGTGTATATATAAAAATATATATATTTTTTCGACTATTATTTTAAGAGCTGCTATACAATGTCATTTTTCAGAAAAGAATTATTTTAAAGCTATTTTAACAAAATTGTTTTAAATGGACTGAGATGGACTAGGTCAGCTTATTTTAATAATATACCTAAAAATAGCATGGTCTAGCCAGTTTTCATGTCCAAATTCATTGTCAAAGTTAAGAAGTTTTGATAAACCATATGAAGAAGTTTTGATTCTTGTCATTTGTGCCAACTAAGCAGTAATGGACACGACCGAGCTATAATGGAGCTTGATGGTAGATAAAGGAAGACCTTCCTAGTTTAAGTCCTTTTTTTTCTTTTTCTTTTTCCGATTCTAGTTTAAGTCTTGAACTTTGAAATTTATGTACTTGCATGTTAGAGCTCATTGAATAATCAATTATTTTTTGTCCTTTTAAGAATGTCAACTGATTCTGTGCCTTGAGAAGTTAGAGAAACGTGAAGCTCTCTTTTTTATTCTAAGATTTCTCTTCTTTTTTTCCCCTCCATATCATCTGTAAAGATATGATATTCTCTCTGTTTGTCTCTTTCATTTACGTTTAATTCATTAAAATAAGGAATGATGTATTTCCTTATATTACGAACTAAAGTTAGCTGTTCAAGCAATAATTTATGTCACACATGCATACGTGGTTCACATCTTTTTGTTTTCTCCCTATAAATGCAGGTTTGGAGCTGAAACTATTTACACCAAAAAGTGGCTCAGCTTGTTGGTTCAGATAAAGTAGAGTCATTTAGAGTGGATATCTCAGAGATTGAAAGAAGCTTGGAATCATCATTCAGGGGCCAGGCTTCAAATTTCAGGAGCAATTCAGCCTTGAGCGCTTCTGAGAAGGACGACGCTGTAGATGAGGACAACATGTTGGCCTGGGCTGCAATTGAGAGACTGCCAACATTTGACAGATTGAGATCATCTGTTTTTGAGGAAATCAATGGCGATGAGGTCAACGGTAAGAGCACAAGGGTAGCTGATGTTACCAAGCTCGGAGCTCTAGAAAGGCATGCTTTCACTGAAAAGATGATTAAGCACATTGAGCATGACAACCTTCAATTGTTGCGCAAAATCAGAAAGAGAATTGACAAGTAAGAATTCCGTTATTAACTTGCCAGTAAAAATTTAATTATAGACACTGAAAGGTCATTGCTCTTGCATTTCAATTGCCATATTTTTTGGTGATTGACAGTGCTAAGTTTTGAATATTTGCATATCTCGTAGTGTTTCTTCTCATATCATCAAAGATTTCTGTGTTAGACTTAATTCAATGAACTGAAGCTCAGTTAACTCTTTGTAGAGTTGGTCTGAAATTGCCTACAGTGGAAGTTAGATACAACAATTTTACCCTTGAAGCAGAATGTGAGCTTGTTCAAGGAAAGCCTCTGCCTACTCTTTGGAATTCTTTCAAAAGCATGATCGAGGTAAGTTTTTTCGATTTGATTGAGAATAGTTGATAACTTCATCAAGCTATTCTCTTACAGATATGCATGCTGGATTTTAGAAGTTGATCATCAGAAGGCATTTATTAGGACTTCAATAGGCGATTAAGTAACCATTTTGAATGGTGAAAAGTTGATTCTTTTTCGTGCTAACATGTCCAGTTCCATACTGGGGTTGACTAATTTTAATAGTATGTTTACTTGGGTCATTATACCTACATTTCCTACCAATTAGTTAATTTTCTGATGCATTGCAACTCTAGAAGTTGTAGGAAAGATTTGATGAGTATCTTCAAACTTATGTCTGATTTCATAATTCAAATGTTAAATGTAGCAGAAGGTGCAAGCACCAATCTTAGGTTATTCTATGCTGCCACTTGTGATTTCACTAATTCAGTTTGTTCAACAGAACCTTGCCAGGCTTCCAGGTCTACAGTCAGGATTGGCCAAGATTAAAATCATTAATGATGTCAGTGGTGTAATAAAACCTGGAAGGTATGTCTATGGGGCAGATACTGATCAGTTTAAATAGTTATACCCGTGTAATTCAAAATAAGTACGCCAACCACCTGATTTCTAGCTTTTGACTTGAAGGACACAGTCCTTTTTCTGGTCATTCGTATTAGCACTGTCTGTGGTGCTGTCCAAGTTATTAGTTTATCATCAATCATCACAATCCCACAGTCTATATCGTTTGTATTAAGCTTAGGTTTTGGTGAAAATGGTTGTGAACTCATCATCCTTTATTTTATTTGTCAGTTGATATTTTACATAGATGGTCATGTTTTAATGGAGCATAAGAGAAACAGTTCTGTGAACAAAAGCTCTGGCCTTTCAATCATGCGTTTCAACTCAGAACTTGATAGTGTCCATTGTATATGCAGTACGCAGTACAAATCTCCTAATGTTCTCAATCAGTTTGATCCATATTTGTAGTTGAAAGATGAATAATATACTTCCTCGCATGATTTTGTTCTATGATGCATGTTATTATCAAGTGATTATATTATCATACTCATCTTCATGGGATTTCATTTGTTGGATCTTTTTTTCTAGTAGTTTCTCCAGTTCTTCATAATAATTTAGTGCCTTTATATCTTTAAGATCTCAGCTGATATGTATAGTAAAATGGATCTAGATAGTGCTGCCTGCCCAACAGAAGCTTTGTTGCCTTTACCACCTCCTCCTCCTCCAAGAATAAATTACTGAACAGCTGTGAACTGCTTTTTGCACCTTGACTCAGACAAGAGTGATGTAGAATTCACAATTGAGTTCACAACGTTTGGAGCTGATATTGATCTTACTGTGTATTGGCCATGTATTTTTCTGGGGAGATTTCTTACAATGGTTATAAATTGGAAGAGTTTGTACTGCAGAAAACTTCTGCATATATAAGCCAAAATGATCTACACATCCCTGAAATGACTGTTAGAGAAACACTAGATTATTCTTCTCGTTTCCAAGGAGTTGGAAGCAGAGCAGGTATGCTCTTAAGCACACAAAAGATAAATCACAGTCATGAATACATTTCAGCACTAGTTTCTAAAGCAATGTCTTTTCTTTTGAAGAGATCATGATTAAGCTAAGCAGAAGGGAGAAAGAAGCAGGAATTGTTCCTGATCCAGATATAGATACTTATATGAAGGTAGTTTTAACATCAAGTTGTTCTCATTTCATCTCTATTACCTGGAAAGATTTTGGCATTCTTCAGCAGTCTAGCTGTTATGGATTTTAAAATTCTAAATCAAATTTAAATCATACAGGCAATTTCTATCGAAAGTCAAAAGAAAAACCTACAAACAGATTATATTCTGAAGGTAACTTTATTAAAGCACCCAATTTCATAATTCTTCAATAGAAATCGGATTATAACATGGTCGGCACATTCTTATCACTGTGTTCAGACTCTTGGACTTGATATGCTGACACATTGGTTGGTGATGGCATGAGAAGTGGTATCTCAGGTGGTCAAAAGAAAAGACTGACAACAGGTATTTTTGTAACAAAGGCATCAGTTCTATATGTTCTCAATAAAGGCTGCTGATGTACTTGATATCATTTGTGTTAGGTGTTTGTCCTGATTTTCTTACCATGTTCGGTTTTCCTATCTCTTGAAGGAAAGGACAACCTATTTACCATAATGAAATATTAAATCTCCCATATTTGGCTAGTCCCTTTTCTAATAGGAAAATGTTTGGACTTCTATAAATTGAGGATCCTTCCTTCCTATTCAGCAGCATCCACAATATAGCCATATGGGGTTTGAGAGTTTTGTTTAGGGGGAGAACTTTACGGGACAAGTGTTAGTGTCACTTGTATTTGCCTCTTCGTAATGTTGTTCCCTCGATATTTTGTACTCTCTTTTATATAGTGGATTGCTCATCTCCGCCGTGGACATAGGTCAATTGACCGAACCGCGTTAAATATTTGTGTCTCTTTTGGTATATTTCTCTTTTGTTGTGTGATTTACCGTCATTCAAGGTTTGCTTTACTAGCTTCCGCATGACACCTGCTTATTTCGATCCTAACAATTTGCAAGACAAAGTTTAATGAATCAACTATATGTACGACGCAGGAGAGATGATTGTTGGCCCCACTAAAGCATTGTTTATGGATGAAATATCAAATGGATTAGATAGCTCAACTACGTACCAGATTGTTGCTTGCCTTCAGCAGTCGGCACATGTTACAGATGCCACTATACTTGTATCGCTGCTTCAACCAGCGCCAGAGATCTTTGATCTCTTTGATGATATAATCCTGATGGCTGAGGGTAAAATTGTTTACCATGGGCTCCGAAGTTCTGTCATAGAACTCTTTGAAAGCTGTGGGTTCACTTGTCCTGAAAGGAAAGGGGTGGCTGACTTCCTCCAGGAGGCAAATCCATAGTATCTGTTGCTAAATGATTGTCACATTTCTTTCTGTCAATTAGAAGCCAATCAAATTTTATTGATTATTTTCAGGTTATATCGGAAAAAGATCAAGCACAGTACTGGTATGGAACTAGAGAAACATATAAATTTGTGTCAGTTGATATGTTTTCGAGAAAATTTAATGAATCTCTTCAAGGAAAAAAGCTGAATGAAGAACTTTCTGTTTCGTATGATAAATCAAAGAGTCATAGAAATGCTATAACATTTCGTGACTATTCACATCCTAAATGGGAACTCTTTCGTGCTTGTATGTCAAGAGAATTCCTTCTGATGAAAAGGAATTCATTCATCTACATATTCAAAACTGTTCGGGAAAGTAATCAGTTTCTTGTCATTTCATTATGGTACTCAAGCCATAAGATATTTTATACTTATTCACATAGTCCCAAGCAAAGATAGAAGTCACCTTTTCCTTTTTGAGGTATCCCACAACTTATTGCATTTTATGCCTCTACTGTGCAGCTTGCCATAATTTCATCCATAACGATGACTGTATTTTTGAGAACTCGGATGGATACTGATTGGAAGTTATTATTTGGGAGCCTTGTTTTACACTCTCATCATTCTTGTTGTGGATGGATTCCCCGAGCTGTCCATGACAATAACAAGACTTGCAGTTTTCTATAAACAGAACGACTTGTGCTTTTACCCAGCATGGGGCATATGCAATTCCTGCTACAATTCTCAAGTTTCCTCTTTCTCTATTAGAATCTGTCATTTGGACATCTATGACCTATTATGTCATCGGTTTTAGCCCTGAGACTGGGAGGTGAGTGCTACGTGTAAATATCTTGTACTTTGTTGCTTTGGTTCCTTTAACTATAATTTTGTTTGTTATATATATCACTATCTCCAATAGACGTTCGTCAGCAGCTTGCACTTCACCAGTAATTCCATTTGTCTTTAAGGAATGATTTGAACAAAATTTAGTGAATTTTTGTGACAAAATTCTGTCACTTGCAGATTCTTCCGACAATTGCTTCTATTATTTTCTCTGCACATGGCATCAATCTCCATGTTCCGTTTCGTGGCATCTTTCTTCCGGACTATTGTTTCTTCTGCATCTGTTGGGAGTTTATTAATCACATTCCTCTTTTTATTCGGCGGATTCATAATACCAAAACGTAAGCATTCCTAGCTCTTTTTTCTTTGATATGATTCTCATGTGAGGGTGAGTATCAGACTAAAATACCGGTATTTGACTACAGCTTCAATGCCGGTTTGGCTGAAATGGGGATTTTGGATTTCTCCGATGACATATGGTGAGATAGGTGTTTCTGTAAATGAATTTCTTGCCCCAAGATGGCAAAAGGTGTGTGCCAATAGCTCAAATACTTTGCTTCTTTACCATTTCTGTAACTCTTTTTGCACACTGCACGTGGAACTGAAAATGGTTCAGCTCAAAATGACTGTCTTGGGGCTCCAATATGCAATAGGAAAAGTGGTCTCTATAAGGCAATGCGGGAAAAGTATTTGGTTATTCCATCTTCTATCCTGAAATTGTGCTTTGAAGAAAGGGAGATAGTATGGGTCTTTGTGTTCTTATCCTAACTATCAGTGCAAGCACTTCATAGACACTCAGAAGTTATAGTTCAGTACAACAGCTTAACTATCAGTAACCTCTAAAATGTGCCATAATAAAATTCTGCATTGATGAGAATATCTCCAAATTAATGGCTTAGAAGTCTTCTTAGATTTCTTACCTCCATGATGCATGCATATCTGTTAACTTAAGCCTATAGCTTTGTCTCTCTTGTTGCAGAATTTTAATTTGGTTCTTCATATTATATTTTACACTCATATCACATAATACTTGTCTTTTTTGCACAGATGCTCCCTACAAACATGACTATAGGGAATGAAGCCCTTGAAAGTCGTGGTTTAAACTTTGATGGATATTGGTATTGGATATCAGTTTGTGCCTTGTTTGGCTTTACAATGCTGTTTAACGTTGGTTTCACCTTGTCCTTAACTTTCTTTAAAGGTACATTCATCTTTTTTTTTTGGTACATCAAAGAATCTGCACGATTGATTTTCTAATTTACTAGTTTTCTTGAAAATGTAATGCAGCTCCTGTTTCTCGTGCCATTATATCTATGGAGAAATACTCCCAAATAGAAGGAAGTGGAGATTCTCCTGATAAAGCTGACGCAATAGAAAATTCCAAAACCACAAATCCTGGCACCACAATGGAATCTCATGAAAGAGCAGGTTACCCTCTTATTCTTATTGCTCAGATAATTGGCTGAGAAATCTTGTTTCTTACTATCTTTCTCATCATTTTATAGTTGCTTCCTTGCTCTTCAAAAGACAATTTCTTCTGTTGTTTTCCAGGAAGAATGGTTCTACCTTTCGAACCCCTATCTCTCGTGTTTCAAGATGTTCAGTACTATGTTGACACTCCTGCGGTATCTTCTAAATCTATCTCACTGGCTGAAGTTGTGGTTTTATGTCCATGTCAGACAATGAAGGAGCTCGGTTTCACTCAAAATAGACTCCAACTTCTTTCGGATATTACCGGCGCACTTAGACCTGGTATCCTTACAGCCCTTATGGGTGTCAGTGGTGCTGGAAAAACGACCCTCCTTGATGTTCTTGCTGGTAGAAAAACAAGTGGTTATGTTGAAGGAGAAATAAAAGTTGGTGGGTATCCTAAAGTTCAAGAGACATTCGCTAGAGTTTCAGGTTACTGTGAGCAGACAGATATATATTCTCCTCAGATAACTGTAGAAGAATCAGTTATATTTTCTGCCTGGCTACGACTTCATCCTCAGATTGACGCCAAAACGAAATATGTACGAACTTATTAACATAGAGTTTGAATTACTATTTCTTTCATGAACACTATTCTTTCTGGCTATATCTATATTTGAACTGCTTTGGCACATCTCCAGGAGTTTGTGAAAGAAGTCCTTGAGACCATTGAGCTAGATGGAATAAAAGACATGTTGGTTGGCATGCCGGGTGTTAGTGGGCTTTCAACTGAACAACGTAAACGACATACAATTGCTGTGGAGCTTGTTGCAAATCCCTCAATTATCTTCATGGATGAACCCATAACAGGGTTGGAAGAAGGTCAGCTGCAATTGTCATGCGGGCTGTGAAAAATGTTGCTGATACTGGAAGAACAATAGTTTGCACCATCCACCAGCCAAGCATTGACATAAGTGAAGCATTTGATGAGGTAAGATGTATGGACGGAGCAATTGCTTAGTACTGCAAAAATTCCCTCTTTAGTTTGAATGACTTTCTGGTATGCAAACACTGCTTGATTGCCTGTAGTAATCCATATATTTAATGGTTCCGTGAATAGAGAGTTTTTTTCAATGTATGCATTGAACAACAATCAACAAATGCTGCTTGAACACCCAATTTCAAGTTGTTAGCATCTTTAGATCAGGTCGATCTCTTTCCAATAAGAACTTACAGCCAGTTACCTATTTATAGGCTGAAATCAGTTACTCACAGAACCTAGTGATGATGCTTAGTGACATGTATGTAACATTTTAGAATTCCTTGGTAGCTGTATTTTCCAATATTCTGTGTAACAATGCCTGGTGAAGTTAACCTTGAAGCCATTTAAAATTTAAATTATGCCACCTCCCCGGTAACTTTTCAATAATAGCAAGTGTTTTACAAGTCAATAGAAGATGGTCTATCGCATGATGGCCTTAAATCGGTCATCCTTGTGCTGTTCCTGCCTTAAGGATGATTAAGAAGAGGCCTTGCAATGTCTTTCCTGGATTTCTCCTTCACAATGTGTCACGACCCATTTTTCTGAACAAGCCGGGACCGGCACTCGATCACTAAACATGACCAAGCGAACCATCTCCACTTATCAAATCTATCGTAACTCCAAGCTTTATATGCAACAAGGCAATACTCTAACCAAATACTTTTGATTAATTTAAATATTCAAATAAATCAACTCCGAAACTTTATTCATAATAACCAATGAAATACTGCTAAGTTATTATCAAAAACATCTAAATCTTAACCCAACGACTATGTCTATGAAGCCTCTACTGATAAACTGACGCACTGCTCAGGACATGAGATTTCCTGGCCGGTTCTCTAAGTAACAAGGAAATAAATAAATAAAAACGACTCTAAGGAATACTCCACGAACAAAAGCGGAGCTCACCAATAACACTGGAAGAGAAGGAAGTCCTAACTCGCAGCCTGCTCGCCTGCAAATCCGGTTCCTACGTTGTACCGCAGACCAACGTAGGTTCCCAAAAGAGAACGTCAGTACCATACATTGTACTCAGTGAGTCTCAACAACAGGGGGCGAAACTTTAATAACATATATATTGTGAGCAAAGGTTATAAATGCATGTAAAACATAAAGCTTATAAGAATAATTCTAAATAATTGCATAATAGCAGTTTATGAATATTCTAAAAGAAATTCTTTTCTTTTTCTTCCTTATAAAAAAAATATACTTCACTTTATACCTTGGGAGTTCCAACTATTCTGACTTAATTCTGTCTCAGTCACCGTGTGATCGGCACGGGTTCGATCCCAACCTAATCGAATAGGCCCAATCCACGAGGTGTCACTCGCTTCATGGTTCTCAGCGCTCATGTATCATACCTTAGCATGGCTAAGTAATTTCTCAGCAACGAGACCCTCGGCTCGTGTGCTCCCCACTTTGGCACAAGTAGTTTCAGGAAGTCAACGCCTTGGTCAGGACCCTCGGCCTGGACGATGACCCCTTCTCAGAATAAAGGATACTCCCAAAATCTTTTCTTTCTAAAACTTCTTCTTGTGACTTTTCAAGTCTAAATCTTTTATACATACTCATACTGGTATCCTTAAATGTAAGGCATGACATAAGAATGAAATAAACATTCAAAAGTATTTATAAAGGTTCTTGATCCTTCATAAATTTTCAACATGAAAATGGCATATATGAATAACATAAAAATCTGAAATTTATGCACATATATCCAAATAATCATCTAAACTTTTGCTAGAAAATAATTCTAAGCTAATGGGTACTTACTACTCCAATTAAGTACAAAGAATAACATAAAAATCTGAAATTTATGCACATATATCCAAATAATCATCTAAACTTTTGCTAGAAAATAATTCTAAGCTAATGGGTACTTACTACTCCAATTAAGTATATATTAACTCTTTTATGCAATTCATCAAACACCTTGTGTGCGTGCTTTTGTGAGTTAAACCACTTTAGTAAAGGGTTATATCAACTCACCTCAAAACTCCTTTAGCCAATATGTAGACCCTAGTCCAATCGACACCAGTCAAACAATCGATTCTATAACAACCAGTGCATTTTAATCAATTCTAAAGTACTACACCTAAATATGAAATTTATTGTTGATATAGAGAAAGAAGTGAATTAATTATTCAATTCTTACCTACTACTACTATAGGATAATTGACAATAGGGAATTTATATACCTGAGTTCAAGAATTAGAAAGAACCCTAGAATTTTCGTTGCCTGGCAAGTATTTGCTAACGCCGCTTCTGTTTTTGTTCTTTGTTTTAAATTTTCCTAAGGCTTACCAGTTTTGCCTGTTAATTGCCAAGAACCCTTTATGGGCTTTGTTGCACGTGACCCTTCTTTTGCTTTCTTTCTTTTTTTTTTCTTTTTTTTTTGTTTTGTTTTGACAAACTAGTATTTAATTATTCCTACTTTTAATAATTAGTAATATTAAAAATTATTAATATTTCCCCACCAAATTGTATGTCCAATTATTTATAAATAGAAAAGTAATTCAAAATCAATCACAAGGATTTAAATCCGTAATAGAAGTATAATTTAAGATTATAAAAAATTAAATTCTATATTTAGCGTGTCTTGAAACTTTTATAAATTTGAGGAGTGTTACAATCTTCTCTCCTTAAAAACATTCGTCCTCGAATGTTACTAGGGCCTTATTCTTAAGCTAACAATCATTCCTTAGGTCCTTGAACCTCTTAATTTTTTTTAGCACTACTCACTATTCCAAGGGACTCAAAATTTTGGCTAAATCCCTAAATTTTTAAAAATTTCGGCAGAGTTTCCCTTGTAATTTGAACTATCCAAAAAAATATCCCTGTCACAAATAGCCCAACTACACCAACAACAACCAAATATACCATAACAGGCCATTCATAGGCACCATACACAGCTCATGAATTAATTACTCACTCTCCGGCAAGGAGGCACCACAATAACTTACAAGAATCTAAAGCACAACAACTTTAGCACAAGTAAATCACTTTAATGAATTAAATATACTACGGCATAAACTAAATTACTACAACAACTAAGTATAATCTAGGAAAGATAGAAACACTTGCTAACTTGTATTTAATAAATGAAATATAAATGTCAAACCAAACTTAGGTTCACATACCTTGTTACTCAAATAAATAAGGATACTTCTTCCTCATATCTACCTCGACCTCCCACGTAGCTTCTTTTGAATCATGATTACTCCACAAAACTTTTACCGATGCTATATCTTTTGTTCTCAACTTTCTTACTTGCCTATCAAGAATTTCTATAGGTACCTCTTCGTAAGTCAAGCCTTCTTTAATTTCTATGGTATCAGCAGGTATTATATGCGACTCATCATGGATGTACTTTCTAAGCATAGACACATGAAAGATAGGATGAACAGAGGACAACTCAACGGGTAGCGCTAGCTTATAAGCCACGTTTCCTTTCTTTTCTAGAATTTCATAAGGTCCGATAAATCTAGGGCTAAGTTTCCCTTTCTTACCAAACCTCATAACTCCTTTCATTGGTGAAACTTTCAAAAACACCTTATCACCAAGCATGAACTCTAACTCACGATGCCTCTTGTCAGAATAAGACTTTTGACGACTCTGAGCCGCTTTAAGTCTTTCTCTAATTAGCTGAACTTTCTCCAAGGCCTCATAAACAAACTCTGGACCAATCAATGGCACCTCTGCTGGTTCAAACCAACTCACTGGAGACCTACATCTCCTCCTATACAACGCTTCATAAGGAGCCATACCAATGCTGGCCTGATAGCTGTTATTGTAAGCAAATTCTATAAGTGGCAAGTGATCATCCCAATTACCTCCAAAATTTATAACACACGCACGCAACATATCTTCGAGAGTCTGAATCGTCCTTTCTGCCTGACCATCTGTCTGTGGATGGAAAGCGGTGCTCAGATTGACCTTGGTACCTAATCTTTTCTGAAATGCTTGCCAAAAATGCGCCGTGAACTGAGGGCCTCTGTCAGATATGATTGAAACTGGAGTACCATGCAATCGGACTATTTCTTTGATGTACAACTGCGCATACTGCTCTGTAGAATCTGTCGTCTTTACTGGTAGGAAATGTGCGGACTTTGTCAGTCGGTCTATAATAACCCAAATCGAATCATGCTTACGGTATGTGCGAGGTAGACCTACTACGAAGTCCATATTAATCATCTCCCACTTCCACTGTGGTATCTCTATGTCTTGAGCTAGGCCGCCAGGCCTCTGATGCTCGGCTTTGACTTGCTGGCAATTTAAACATTTAGCCACATGATCTGCTACTTGTTTCTTCATGCCTTTCCACCAATACAACTCTTTCAAATCTAGATACATTTTGGTAGCACCTGGGTGGATAGAGTACCTCGAACTGTGAGCTTCTTCCATTATGGCCTTCCTAAGACCATCTACATCAGACACACATAACCGATCATTCAACTTCAAAACTCCGTCACTTCCTAGAGTGGCAGTGATTTCTTTGCTTCTGACTCCTTCTTTAATTTCACTAGTACGGATCTCGTCTTGCTTAGCCTNTATATATATATATATATATATATATATATATATATATATATATATATATATATATATATATATATATGTATATGTATGTATGTATATGTATATGTATATGTATGTATATGTATATATATAGTAATAATTTAGTTCTATAGTTAGCGTGTCTCGGAACTTTTATAAATTTGAGGAGTGTTACAATCTTCCCTCCTTGAAAACATTCGTCCGCAAATGTTGTTAGGGGCTTATTCTTAAGCTAACAATCATCCGTTAGGTCCTTGAACCTCTTAAATTTTTCTTAGCACTACTCACTCTTCCAAGGGACTCAAAACTTTGGCTAACTCCCTAAATTTTCAAAATTTCGGCAGAGTTTCCCTTGTAAATTGGACTATCTAAAAATGTGACGACCCGACCCGTCGTCTCATGTGTTATTGCTCCGTTTCCCCCATTTCATGCTTCTTCGTGTTTCGTTATCGGTATGTGGTGTGTTAGAGTTGATTTGGATTGGTTTTGATAAGAAATGAGACACTTAGTCTCTTGAAGGAAAGCTTAAGTTGAAAAAG